CAAGTTAGCGTTTCCGCCTTCTTGAAGTTGTTTGAAAAGGTATTTTTTATATATCGATTCCAAAGTTTATTCTACATATATTTTACACCCCTATTTGCTTAAAATTATTAAATAATTTGCTTAAAATAAATTATTCAGGCTACATGATCTAATGCATTTATAGTATAATAGTAAACGGGGCTTCCATCGCATATTCTTAACCTTAATACCGCTATCATTAAATAAATGGAATGAGCTTAGATAAATAATAATAATAAAATAAAAAAGATAATTTTTTCCTCGTTTTAATTTTCAAGGAATAATATGCTTCGATCAAACAGATTTCATTCTGGAAATAGCGAAATTATTGAGTAGGTCCCTTGGAGCAATATCATTCTTATCCCCTTTTGACGAAATATAGGAAAAATTGGTTTTCACAGTTTCTGTAAAAAGTATGTTAGCCTTCTTGCCACGTTTTTTTTATTTCTTTATTATTAAAGAAATAAGATCGGAAATCTTCTTACAAATTTCAATTTTTAGTATTTCCTGCTTAACAAAATAAGGCATTTTCCTGATAACAAATTATACTACAATAATATCTTGGGAATCGTGCTAAAGTAAAATATTAAACAAAATAGTTTAGTATATTATCAGGAAAAAAATCTACTTGGTATCATAAAGAAAGAGTAAAAGATGGCATCATAAAGAAAGAGTAAAAGATATAATGAAATAATTAGTGAATCACACGTGGTCAGATAATTAAAAATTTAATTTCACAACTTAAAGATGTTAGGACGACATTTAAGATACTCAGATATTTTAAGACGCTTAAAAATGTTGGCTGCGTATTCGACAGCTTTTTATGTTCGGTATCTTTATACTCTTTGTAGTGACTTATAAAACATCAACACTATTTAAGATAATCTATGTTGAAGTCACAAGAAACAAAAAAACAAGACAACAACAAAAAAGACAATCAATTATTTATATTCTTTTTTCGAAAAAAATAGTATGTTTAGTAAATAATCAGGTGTTTTGCATTAAATAATTTTAAACAGCGGAATGTTTCTAATTTCTTAACAAGGTTTTATTCTTAGCTAGCAGACAATGATTCTTTTAAAAAAAACTTGACTATAATTTAAAAAGGAACTTTACTTTAAGGAAAACCTAAATTAAAGTACTAAAAAAATTGATTAGTATATTAAAGAATAAATAATAAACATAAAAGGGTAAATAACAAGATTTTTAAAAATGCTAAAATTTAATTAAATAGTTGGCAAAATAGTTCTGTGAAACACTTGCGAAACACTTCTTGAAATTTCCTTCAAGATTAAGACGATATAGGGTAAACCAACCAGTGAGGGAACACATCCCAAGTGAAGGAACATTTCATAGATATTTCTTAGAAATAAGATTTTAAACGTTTCAATTTAGATTGATTGGTAACAGTAGCTTACTACCTAACAATAGGAAGTCATCTAACAATGCATTGAGTTACCTAGTCTTTGAGTCTTCTCTGGAAAAAGTTTTGAATTTGTTAGTATCTGTTCAACGCCTTGTTTCTTTGACAAAATTATAAGGTCAGTGTTTGTAGTTATCCGTTTAAAGTACAATTAATTGTATATAATAATGGTTTTTTTTCTCATTACGAAAAAGAGAATTCAAAATATGGTTATTGAAGTTACGTTTTATTTATTTTAAGCATCATAACATAAGCAAGTACAGAGATTAGGGGATGTTTATTAACAGGATTACCAAACGATGAAAAATCAATGAATAAACAAGTGTTCCTTCACAGCGATTTTTTCAAGTTAAGGAAAATAGAAGAAAGATTTTAATTTTCTTGTGCCTTTAGTTATATTATACATCAAAATTATGTTAAAAATACAAAAAACAACTTTTAACCAGTGAAGGAACAGGCATGTTCAATCACTGGGAATAGATTTTCTAGTGAATGAACAGTATGTGTGAAATATGATTTTACATGGATAATTAGTAGTTCTGCGATGTAGAGGACACCTAAAATTCAGTTAAATATTGTATGAATAGTTCCTATAACAATTCCATTTCAAAATGCAAATTTAATTGCTAAATTTATTTAAAGAATTATAATAATAATTTATTTATTATTTATCTTTATAAATGTAGTAATTAGTTATTACATCATACCTTAGACACCTTAATAAACTATGTTTA